GAAATATTACAATTTAAGCAACTGTTTTCTATTTGAATACATTTTATAAAGTAATTTAGTCATGTTTAAATTGACTAATGTCTAAAATTAAATCTGAAAACTATAGCCCGGCCGATATGGTTTTTTTGGGGGCCGATACCGATATTAGAGAGTAAACAATATCGATATATCGGCCGATATTCTTTGTGTATATTATAGTACAGTACCAGTCAAAAGTTTGGACACTTTCCCATTAATGTGTCCAAACTTTTGACTGGTACTATATATAGAATACAGTATATACATAAACAGAATACATATATATATATACATACATACATATACATACATACATACATACATACAGATATATACATTTTTTGCAATGATCTCTCAAATGTGGTGATCAAACACTTATAATGACGTGACAAAGATATGTAATGGAGGCTGGGAATTAAACAATAAACTTTATTATCCAAAATGAGTCTGACATCAGTGCACTGAACAGTAAAGTTGATAGAGACCTCCTTACTGAAGTGAAAGTGTTGGCTGGTGTCACGATCTCGCAAACGAGGAGGCGGATCTCCACCAAATTTGAGGGATCCCTTCAGCTCGAGGAGCCCTCTCGAACGCCACCTTCCGTGTGTCGGTAACCCCCCGGGATCGCCAGATCGGTTGGCACCTGACCGCGAATTTAACCACCCGTAACTCCCGGACCCCGGGGACTATCGACACGGGGGTGGTCTCATTCGAAAGGGGGCCTCGAGACATACACTCAATTCGACGTTCAAGAGGGTTCCTCGAGCTGAAGGGATCCCCCGAATTTGGTGCGGATCCGCTGCGCCGTTACGGAGATACGGCCATTCAAAGTTTCAATGGTATTTCATACACTTAAGCTTTAAAGCGTTTCATCCAGGTTGCCAGTAGCAAACAATGGAGCGCGCTCTGCTGGACAAACTATGTAATTACACCATTTACAAGCATTTTATCTGCGTTTTATGTTCTGTAAAAAAAATTTATATTGGTGGCATATCGGCGAATGCCGCCGATACTGATATATCTGCGACAGGCTCATATAGGCCAATAAAATCGGCAAAACTATATATCGGTCGGGCTCTACTGAAAACCATGTTTAAGGGGAATAAAAAGTCAAAACATAGCAATTAATGGTACAATTTAAAGGTTAAACACAAGATGTGAAGTAAATATGGAATATCAATGCTGGATAACAGTGGGAGACTCACTTGAGGTGTCTCAGCATGTTGGATGCACTGAGGAGCATAGCAGTTGGGTTTGCGATATTCCTGCCGACAGCCTGAGCGAAGGGATGTCTGGCACCCTGATTGAAAATACAAGAAGACCGGAATCACTGTTAAGTCCTCATACACACTGCAAAGCAGTTTATCCCGAGTCTGAAACTGTTACAGTTCATGTATGATGAATGAAGAAATTAAATACAAGATTTAGACACCAACCGTTTCAAACACAGCATATTCTGCACTGTAACTCTCGCCTGGAACTACGCCGGCTCCGCCCACCAGCCCTGCTGCCAGGTTATCGATGATGTTGCCGTAGAGATTTGGCATCACTAACACGTCAAACTGATAAGGATTCTGCACCAGCTGTGGGCCACAGAACAATGTTAATTAAATATATATAGGCCATTCTAATTGCTGGTCATTAATAATAAAAGACTGGAAACTATACCTGCATGCAGCAGTTATCAATGATGATGTTTTCATATTTAATCTTGGGATAAAGTTCAGCCAATTCCGCACAGCTCTGCAGGAAGAGACCATCCCCGAGTTTCCTGTGAAGATAATCCGAGATGAGCGAGTCTATGTGTTCAGTTTTAAAAAAGTATGGTGGAATAATCCCTTCATACTTACATAATGTTTGCTTTGTGGACAGCGGTCACTTTGCTGCGGCCTTTCTTGGTGGCGTAGTCGAATGCAAATTTAGCGATACGGCGAGATTTCTCCCTGGTGATGATCTTCAGGCACTCAACCACTCCTGAAACACTCTACAAACACAGAGGTGCTCATAACACAGATGCACACAACAGTTTTAAAAACAAATCCTTTTATTAATGCATTAATGTAATATTAAAAATGCATTAAATTGATCAAAAGTGACAGTAAAGACATTTGTAATGTTACAAAAGAGTTCCGTTTCAAATAAATGCTGTTCTTTCTATTCATCAAAGCATCCTGAAAAAAAATATATCACGGTTTCCAGAAAAATGTTAAGCAGCTCAACTGTTTTTTAACATTGATATGAATAAGAAATATTTCTTGAGCACCAAATCAGCATATTAGAATGGGACACTGAAGACTGGAGTAATGGCTGCTTAAAATTCAGCTTTTCCATCATAGGAATAAACAGCATTTTCACATATATTAAAATATAAAAAGGCTATTTTGAATTGTAACAACATTTCACATATTACTGTTTTTATTATATTTTGATAAAATAAATGCAGCCTTCGTGAGCATAAGAAATGTCTTTAAAAAACAAAGTTGGTAATGTATAAGAAAATAATTAATACGCTTCAAAAGTTACTTTTGCTGATACTGGTTTTGAAAGGCGCAGTAAACTATCATCATATTTATGTTAAAAGCAAAAGTTTACAGTGTCTATGTCAACTTTAATTATCCTAAATAAGATGTTTGTGTTAAAGAATGTTAACTTTTTGGGTCAATGATTGTCATTAATTCATCCTTATGTTGTTCCAAACCACTGTACTGTTTCTTGTAAACCCCAAGAGAGAAATAATCAGATTTTTTTTAAATTTCATGATATTTGATATCCACATCTCTCAATATAAAAATAAAACGACACAAAGCATCATGAAAAATGATCATCCAAAGCAAAATGTTAGCTCTCTGTGAGGAACGGACCTAAATTTAAATTCTTTTCCAGAAGGTGATTCTTTCAGCCCAATATGTGAATCGGATCAACTATTTCATTGTCTCAAAATACAAAATTGATTCAAGAAATTAGCACTGGTTCTCGAATTCAACTCAATGTCTCAAATCTCTGGTCAACAGCCCACAGGAGGAGAAGATTATCAATAACATAAATACTGTAAAAAATATGCATCTCACACAGAAATAAATGATGTGAGAACAGCAAGTACCTCATGCTCCAGAGAGCTGTATTCTCCCTCCGTCTGCTCCCGTATGATGACCAGATCCAGGTTATTATGGCGGGTGCTGTAGCCAGGCAGGCTGTTCACATGAACCACATTGGCAAACAGGTCCAGCTTTCTCCTGTACAACAAACCACAAAAAATAAATCAATCAAAAACTATCAGGAGAACCATGAGCAGCACAAAGCAGCAATGATAATATCAAAGTACCTCAGTCTCATCTCATATGATGCCAGTTCACCCTTATACTCCATGGGAGTGTGAATCTTTCCTAAGCACAGGGAGAATTAAAACAACATTTATTTAAAATGCCAAATTAGCATTTGTCAATACAACAATATATAAATAAGCTTGCACTAATTTAACATGCTAAATTGACAGCCAAAATATTATGAAACGATCAGCAGTCAGAAATGTTACCCTTGATGGCGACTCTGTTGTTCTTCATGGAGGACAACACCTCTTCCAGTTTCTCCTCACTGGCCATGTTCTGCACCTCACTCAAGTGAAACTCCTCAAACTCCACAGGAACATCAGCTGCCTAGAAAGTGAGGTGAAAAGGGCATTAGGAACAAGTGAGACGAAGACATGAGAGAGGGGTGCGCTGGAACACAGGAGGAAGAAGGAGAAGACCACTAAAGATCAGATGTTTAACCCTATAAACTAAAGCCTATTATATCATATTCAGGCTTAAAGTTTACTCGAGTCTGAAAAAAGACTGAGAAAGAGCATCAGTACCTTGAAAACCTCTTTGACAGCAGTCATCAGCTCAGGTCCAACTCCATCTCCAGGGACCATGGTGACCTTGAAGGTGCTGTCCGCCCTCGCAGGGGGACTCTCTGAAACATTCTGACTGGAGGTCACACTCAAAGAGCGGGTGCACAACGGCTGCAACCGGGCACCACTCAGACCCTGAGGGATCAAAAATGAGATCATAAAGATGGCTCGTATTTCTGGAGTGTCACAGATACTTTTGTTTTTGGTTTGTGTGAACCACCTGTATGGTTTGAAAAAGTGCATTACAGGTGGTGACAGGTCATTTGTCGGTCAGGCCAATTAATCAGCCAATATTTTAAAATGTTAAGTTTTTGATGATTTCAATCGATGATTTCTGTTATTCAAGCTTCATCACGACATTAAATCATAAAAATGTAAAAAGTAACTTTCTGCTCATTCACGTATATCCAAAATGGGGTTTAATGACATATCAAAGTGTTACCATATACCATCATTTACCATGGTACCTAGAATGGAAGTCTAGGTAAATTGTTTACATCTCTACATCCAGACAATTTCTAATGGACCTCTCCTGTGAGATGTCATCTGACTTTTTTTTTTTTTTTTACCGTTACAATGTTACACCCAATGTGTTCCAGTCCAGACTCGCCTTACGCATCTAAATAACGCTATTCGTTTCCCATTTAATCTTTGTATTTGGCCTTGTTGCTCAGACAAACAAATTAGGGATATGTCATTGTAAACTATGAGCAAATTACAGAATCGTTTTTCAAGACTCACCTTGGCCAATGTTACGAGACTCCCTCTCAACGTGGCCGCCATCATGCATTAACGAGAGGGAAAAGGTCGCTGTGATCTTCCTCCTGAACTAGGAACATTGAGGGGTGTGTTTCTCTACTGACCCCTACTGGATGCAAGCTTTACTCGTAGTGCTTCTCGACCAACACTAGGGGTCCTCGGTAAACTTCCAAGGGTGAACACACGACAGCTTTACTGTCAATGGATCTAAAACATTAGTATTTGCATTTTTTTTTTCAGAGACATAATGTTTCTTTTTTTGCCCCCTTTTGGAAGCTAACAGAACCCACATGACCCAAAGCTAGCGAATAAATCAATCACTCTGATAATTTCATCCAAATGTATTTTTTTTTAATTCACTATTACTTTGATTGTTCATTTTGTAAACCTGAGAAATACATTAACTTCATGATGAAATTTGCATAGAATTAGTGTTGAATCGGTAGCCTGAAGATCTTCTATGTTTCTTCATTGGATAACTAATTGAAAGAAATACCTCATGTTAGTTTCTTAATAACAAAACAACTACTATACGGCACAAGAACTACTTTAAATAACCAATTACAGAAAGTTACCCAGGTTTATGTTAAAATACCAAATATATTTATGAAAAAGTTAAGTGTAGCAAACATTTGGATGCTCAATGAGGCCTTAGATACTCACAAGTCCAAAGTCATCAACATATGTATACTTCTGCTCTTTGTAATGATGCTTTCTAGTCATAATTGTCAGGACAATCCAATCACAGATAACATTCACCTGAAATGGACCACAGGTCTGTTATACTCACCAGGGCTGCATATATTTGATTAAACAAAATACAGTAAAAACAGTAATATTGTGAACAATTATTACAATTTAAAATAAATGTTTTATATTTAAATATTTTAAAATGTAATTTATTTCTGATTGCTGCTGAATTTTCAGCAGTCATTACTCCTGTCTTCAGTGTCACGACTCTATATATGCATTGTTTGAGATGTCACTGAAATATACACCGAAAAGTTTTTACTGAATTTTCACTAGCTCATGTTTCCCATATTAGCTCTAATTTGTAAAATGATTGTATTCAAATGAGTAACAGACATACTTACCAGGCCTAAAAGTGCCAAGCCTGCACCTATATTCAGAAGTGTTGGTATGATATTAAATTTTCCTGCCTGTATTAGAAACAAAAGTACTTAGTATGTGTTGAATGACTAAGTTAATGCTAACCTGTAACATTAGAAAGTATAAAGTGTCTCACCTGGCCAAATACCAAGACATCAAAGCGAATACCATAACCCTTGATAAGCGTCCTAGTCTCTGTGCCATCACTGTCCTTGTAATATTTAGCAAATCTGTAAAGATTTAATCAAATTTATTTAAAATGCATCCTCACTTCCTCTCAGAAACCACTTTTTCTAAGTGCAAACGCCTCCTACCTGAAGTTGTATCCGGGGGCCACGTTATTTTCAGGGTCTTTGTTGTCTAGTCTGCGGAAAGTGTAGCGAGGCACACACCAGCTCTGTGGCATGTCAAGATCACAATCCCACCGGATCTGCACTCCCATCACTCCCCCCTAAGAAGAAGGAAAAAAGTGCACAAAATGCTGTTAAAAATTTCTAACATTAGCCAATTTAATTCAGCAATGTCAGATAAACATAAATTAAGTCTCTAACATGGACTGCCATGGTCTGAAAATCCTCTTCAGCCTCTTCAACAATGTCTTTGAGTCTGAAGATAGGGCAGTCAGGGTCTGTCTTGCGGCTGAACACACACTGTGTCAAGTAGGAGCTATTTATATTTGGTAGGATATTCCTTCTGTAAGGACACAATGAGCATGTTTCATTCCGTTAAAACAATGGCAGACAATTCATTCACTTTTTTTCATCCATCTAAGTAGAAACAATAATGCATTCAAAAAGCTTACTTGTTGAAATTAAATTTGGGATAACGAATGTTATTTTTTATGAGCACAGTGAAGTTTTCAGCATCTGCCAGAAGTGGTGGACTGAAACGTCAAGAAGAAAGAAAAAAAAACTTAATTACCAACATTACATAGTTTCAAATCTAAAGAAAAGAAATGACACACACACACACACACACACACACACACACACACACACACACACGTGTATAAAATATATATACATATAGGATTTTACTTTGGGGGTTCAACAATCTTCTCTAAAGGACACCAGGACAGCACTTCACAAGTCTTCACTGTGTCATTGTAATTGACACATCTACCTGTCTGAACACCTGAAAAAAATAAAATGCATTGTTTTATTTATACAAAATGATGTTTGCTGTCTAAACAGATGGGATTGCAAAGATCATTAGTCACAGTTAGAGTCATCTTGCATTTAATGTATGAGCCATACCATCTCCACGAGCATCATTGAAGCCTCTTTTGCAGTCCCTGTGAGAAGTGCATATGGATGCTGGGGTCGGATTCTAAGTTACACAAGTTAAAATGAGATTAAGATACATGATACAAAATACAAGATACTGACAGAAAAATGTGAGCAATATTTTCTAATTCTACTATTTATTAGTTAAGCTGACTTTTTCTCTATTATTTCAAATAATTTAATTGTCCAATTACTATTTGGTATTTGATTTCAGCCAGTAACGTTTGTTTTAATCGGTTAGTCACAAAAGAGAACTATGCCTCCCATAATGACTCACCTCAGCACATTTCGACTGTGTTTGATTTGGGGTGATGATCATATTGGTCAGCACAAAGAATGATCCATCCTCCTGAAACATTCAAAACACGTGATTTCAAGTAATACCTAAAAATATACTTCCTCATAACTGAATAATGGCAGAGGCATGAACACTTTTCATTTCCTTAGAGACAGTGTAAACTGCTAAATTACATTCACTGCCATCAGTAAACAGTATGGTCAAATATTTAATGTGCCGTTTTGATTAAATAAAAAAAGAAAAGTAAAAAGAAAAACAACAGTGTATAAGACACTTATCAAACAAATGTCTTAACATTATTTCAAATAAATTATATTTAAATCATTAATAATTAAAATGCAAAATCTAAGAATCAGGAGAAACTCAGCACCACTGAGTTCTCATTTGACATTATTTAATGCAGCGTACAACTGTTAGCAAATTTGTATAGGCAAATTTTGTGGTTTCTGTACCCTTCAAAACAACATGATATTTACTCATGTTGTTTCTTTTGAAACGTTAAAGGCTAGTTGAGCAGTGCATGTAATGAGTTCAAGTTTTAAATACAAGTCTGCTTTCAGAAAATGAGAAAAACATTTTTAAAGCATATATTAATTTAGTTTCCCTAACTTTTAAAAATAAACTATTTGAAATTACTTGAAATGAATCAAGTTTAATTATTTGACAGCCTGTATGTATGAACAAACAAGCATGAAAACGAAAACCTTTCTAGTGTAGTAATATTGACTAAAGTCTGAATGACTTTGGACCTATAAAGTTTGAAAACCACTGGTTTAAGATCATTAAGCCAAACTTGTTACACCCAACACTGATTTCCCAAGAGACATTATTCAAAATATGTGTATATTCCAAAAGAGTGCACACTTAGCCCTTGAGTAAAGAGTAAAGAGTTAACACAATACAATGTATGAGCATGCAGGTGCAGCCATATCATCTTCATAACCCATGAAGGTGGTGGAACCAATGAGGTTAGCGGGCATTTAAATCGTCTAGCCTGTACCTCCTCTTCGTCAAATCGACGGACTACCTGAGGTGGGATGATGTAGTCAGCCACATCCCAGATCCGTTCACCCAACTCAGTAGTGTTTGTGAGAGCAATGCCTTTCACTTTGGTCGTGACAGAGCTGAGGACGGTGTCCGTGTCCTGGTAGCCTTTCTTAAGAACACACACATACCTGTAATCAAACAAGGAAGTTATTTAAGAATACAGTTTCTTATGTGCTCTTTATGTATTTCTTATACGAACATGTTAACTTACCCGACGACGTAGGCTATGACTAAAGCTTGAGTGAACCGATTCAGCGTTCCCACTTTCCTGCTTCTTATCACTAATATTTTTGACGTGTAGTAGTCGAAAAAACACTCACCTACTGAATTACAGCAACCTTTTTTGCTCATTATGATCGCTTGAACGAAACCGTAAAATGAACTATACTTCTATTTCCCTTCCTGTTCACTCAGTCACAAGTTTTGTAGGTTATTAACTTTCCACGACGCCGCAGTGCGGTCCAAACTTTACACACTTCCCGCTGAATTGTCGTTTCACTTTCTGAGACTGAAGATCATGTACTACTCAAGAACAGTTTTAAAGGAATAGTTGACATTTTTTGTCACGATCTACACTGAAGGTGGTTCCTTTTGCACATGGAGCATTTGTATTGAAATGATGACGCTGCTGTTTTCTGCACAATGAAAGTGAACGGTGTCCAGAGGAAACAACTGATGTTTTGGTCTAAACAAGATTTTGAAGTACCACTGAGCTCTCACTTGACCATTATTTTACTGCAGAATACAACTGCCCACAAATTAATTAAGCCCATATTTTGCATAGGCAAATTATGCTACTCCTGACGATAACAAGGTTTACCGTGAGCCTCTCAAACCAAGTAATAATTTAACAAAAATAAATCCAACTGTACAACTCATGCCCGTTATTTCAGCTTTTCTGAAGCCATATGATAGCTTTTTATGCAAAATTAACTACAATTGTAGTTATTGTCCCAGTTTTTACTATCTGTTCCTCTTAACAGAAAACCACAAAGCCCAACAAGTTCATTCGAATGTAGTACTAAATATGGAAGAATGAAATACAAATAAATTAGATAAATAAATCTAAAAACAAATAACTCTTATAGAGAAACGGGTAAAATAAATACACCACGGAGACTGATCACAAAAGATAGATTTATTGACAGTATTGGAGAGATGGAAATGCTGACAATGTACCCTGATAGCACACATACATCACGGAGACGTCTATTTGATGTCTGCATTTACATCTGCAAGACGTATTTTTTAGAGTGTTTGCTCATCTGCAATACGTCTATAGGACGTTTCCTTTTAGATGTCAAACAGACGTCTATTAGATGTCTTTAAGATGTTTATGATTTAGAATGTATGTAAAACTGACATCTGAAAGACGTCTGTTAGATGTTTGTCCACAGCAGATGCTTTCCAGATCAAGAGATCTTTAACAGACATCTTGCAGACGTACATGTGCTATCTGGGTACCCCTTTTTTCTACAAGAAATTAACAAAATGTGATATTCCTTATCGTGCATTTTTTTTGTTGCAGGAATTTGGCAGGAAACCATATAATATCTGATTACATTCCATAAACACGGAGGGAGGAAACATTCCTTCCAGCTCCTTCCCATGGGTGTTAAGTGATTTTCTGAAACAATGCTGTATTGAGTGTCTGTGTTATTGCCTAGTTTTTCAAATGATAAGGTCACAGTGCAGCAATTCAGATTTTGAGAGCGAACACAGCTGGAAACGTGCTATTTCACAGTTTGCTTCTTTTTGAGGTCACACAGAAACATTGATGATTATTGGATTCATTCACTGAAAAATGACAAAGGCTATATGTCATACAATTTAAGCTAATTAATTTAATTCTTAGTGATTACACAAAATAGAAAGTGTAGTTAGAAAATTATAAAGTACTTTTTCCTGAATAACTGACTGTTTTAACCAACAATGTCTACCAATTTGTTTATGAGAGGAAATATCTCAAAATTTTAGGTTTGAAGTGCTCCATCTTTTTGGGGTCCATGGTTTTCACTGCCTCCTGGGCATAAAGAATTGCCTGGTGGGCCTCATCAAACAGCTCAGCCCCAATTTCTGCTCTGACTCTGTCCTTCCATGCCTTGAGTTTGGGTCTGTTCTCAAACACATCCATACCAGCACCTACAGGCTGAAACAAAAAATCGTTATCAAGTATAAAACGACTGTCAGATATCATCTGGCTTAAATTCTCAAATCATAATATTGCTTCATCCGAAACGGAATAATTTGCATACATAGGCCTACCTGCATGATTTCCACAATAGCAACCAAGTCAGCCAGTGAGATCTGATCACCAACAATGAACGGTCTGTCTTGCAGAAACTTCTCCTCAAAAAGGTTTAGTGATGCATTAAGATCCTCTACTGCATTGTCCATCTTTTCCTTAGGGATCTCAACTCCTAAAGCTTTTGGAATCAAGAGCTACAGCAAAACAAGAAAACTACTTAATTCCATTTATAAATAATTACACTAAAAAGTTAGCAGTTAACTCTGTAGCAATTCTAAAGACTAGGTAGGCTTCAGTCCCAAGGTCACAGAACAACAGGAGTGAACCATCAGCTTGGGAGCTGCTGAAATCTAAATGTTGTTCTGGTTACCACAGACACAGTACCTTTGAACGAAAATAAATTGACTTCACTCACCTTAAACCAGAACATCTTGGATCCATGTATCCGTATGGCAGAGTGTTGCCATGATAGATATTCGTTTACTCTAGCACGCTTCTGCAAGTCAGCTGGGTACCAGTGGTCTGGAGTGTGGAACTTTTCAGCCAGGTACAGCATAATCGCAACACTACAGTAAGTAACACTTTATTTACTCAATGAACAGTTTCATAAGAGACACAAAACAAACAGGTGTCTCTGATTCTTACATTCTAGAACGGTGGTTTTCAACCAGAGGGTTTCAGAAATATCAGTAGGGCATCAAAATGACTTAAAATGGTTTAACGTCAAAGAAAAAAAAAAAGCATAAACGTTTTGAAAATAAGATTAAACAACTCTTATTTAATTTGTATTTAAAAAAACAAAACAATAAAAACATAATTATTTTAATTTTAAATATAATTATTTTAGTTACTTAAAAAAAAAAAAGCTTAAACTAGCCTATATATATATTGGGAGTGTCCTAGGTGCAAAATAATTAAAATACTATTATAAACTATTTTTTTTATCATAATTAAGTCTTAAATTAAACTGAAAACATGGAAAACCTTGCTATCCATAGACCACATACCTTTCAGCCAAGCAAAAGTCTCCATCTTTGATTGCTGGTACTTTTCTTAGCAGGTTGATTTTCCCATATTCTTCACTATACTGATAACCTGAGGGACAGATCTCATATTTACGTTTTGGAAAAATACTCATATAATAATATTAGGGTGATCATTGTGTACAACTGGCACAATGTAAAAGCTCTAAAACGTGCAGGATAACTGCCAGATTAGTGATTCACAGCATTAAATCCCGTAATACCTCTAGCCACATCTGCCTATATCAATAAAAGATTACATTCTGTAGTCTAACCACAACTTCTCACACAGAAATATAACAAAAAGTGAAAAAAGACTGTTGCATTTCTTTATGAAAATGAAGAACTTCCATAAAGTCTGTAAGCTTTTCCTTCCTATAAAGAAGTTTTGGTGAATGCTGCAAAATCAATGTAAAATGCACTTAACACGGTTTAAGATACTGTAACACAATATTGTAACACCTTCAAAAAGCGAAATCTTCTTGTAGTCGAACTGGATGTCGTTTTTCTTGGCAAAAATGTAAACAGAGCGACATGGCTGCGAAAACAGATCCAAGTACATTTCCAAAGACATTTTCTGAAGAGTATCTGACTTCTATACTAAAACACAACCCAGTGAAAACTGCAATGAAATGACTGTTCCCCGTTGCACATGAATCGCCTACTACTGCGTCTGCTACACCACACCCCGCTGAACTCTGTTCCTAACCCTCTGCCAACTGGGGGAAAGAAAAACGGCTCGATCTCATCGTGAGTGTGTGGAATTTGATCACAAAGGACACAGAATGACTCAATATTATTACCACTTTAAATTGATCAAGCTTTTAAGCACTATAATTCGACTATGAAATGAGAACTTTGTGTTTAGCTATAAACTTTGAATTTTATTTTCTTCATTCTTCTCTTGCAACTAGCGCCATCTGTCGGAACTCGAGGGTATTTTAATCGTGACAGTTCATAGAACGTTCATCTCTTCAAATATCATATTTTAATTTGAAGAATTGCTGTCAAAACATTGTTTTTTTTTAAATCTAAAACTAACATATTGAAGACACTCCTTACATAGCTTAAATATTATACTAATAAACTACTTTTATGACTTTAGAACGTCTTTAGAAAACTTGCCTGGTGGTAAAATTGTCTATACATTGAAAAAGATTGTGTAGGATTTTCAGAAATTGATAGTAAATTTCACAAATAATTACAAAGAATCATTAGTAAGACGCTGAGTTAATTGAAGTAGTTCTTGTAAAACATAACCCAGTAATCTTTGAAGAATCAGTTTTCACAGTATCACTAATAAATAGTATGATTTCACAATTACAATGTATTTCATGTTTATTTGTGTGCAAGAAAAGTGAGTGTTCTTCTTTTCTTCTTGAACCACGAAACGCATACTGTAGATCCAAACTGCTTGTCTACCCTGGAAGCAAATGCTACCCACATCATCCCAAAACTCCTGAATGAATTACACAGATGCTTTATTCAAGAGTGTTTTTATTGTTTTTCCATTTAATTTTTTAGCAAATTTCTGAATCCATGTACTTGACAAACACAGCTGATGATAAAGACAATTAGTGAGAAAAGACATTTTGTGTGCACTTATACTCTGTGCTATGCAACTGACATCTGTGTAAATCAAAACTCACTTTTTGTCCTCAGCTGACTACATGGTTATGGATATTTCTATGGCTTTTGTAAAATGGTCGTTATGGTCTGATTTGACCCGTAGATGCTATGCAACTGACATCTGTGTAAATCAAAACTCACTTTTTGTCCTCAGCTGACTACATGGTTATGGATATTTCTAAGGCTTTTGTAAAATGGTCGTTATGGTCTGATTTGACCCGTAGATGTGTTTGACAGATAAACTGATTGATTGAATATGGCACGTTCTCTGGAAAACTGATTAACACTGAGCAATTCATACAATTAACTATATAATATAACTATCAACTTATTTTCCTTATTGTCTAAAAATAGACACATCCAACCCAATATATTGATTTCCTATCAAAATGCTAAATGCATTTTATATTTATTTTAGTAAAGTGATTATTTTTAAATCACAGGCTACTATTCAAGAAAATCAGGAAATATTCTTATTCCTATAAGAACAAACCGGTCCTATCATCCAGGAGCAATGTGTGTCCAGCTAGTTGAATCCCAAACAGGAATCACACATAAAAGACTGTGAAGTCTTATAAGAAGCTCATCACTGTTCCTTTCTTTCCAATCTGCCATGGCTCCAGAGGGTAGAACAATATCAAAATACTGCAAGAGCGAACACAGAAGAGAGAAAAAAATCAGGACATTATATTTTATAACACAAACAATGGCTTGATCAAAAGTCACATTTAATGCAATTAAATTAGACAATTTCGTGGCCATTTTGAAGCAATGCCACTATTAAAAATGAACGCTGATTTGCTACAGTGGCAGGTGGGATTTATAATTAAGGGGGAGGGACGTTATCATTCCAGGAAGCATTTTATTGGACAAAAATAGACACGCCCATTAAAGCAATGTCAATCAATAATACTTTGGTCTGTCTTTCAGATATGTAACGTTATATGTTAAGTTTACTAGATTTTACGCACTACATTGTAACTTTCAAACAAGTTGCCAAATATTAATGTAGGTAAGTAACCAGTACATTCAAAGTGTGTTCAACCCGCCATTTTTTTATTCATTTACCGGTCATCGCTAAGCCCAAGCTCTCCTTTCAGAAACTGGAAGATTTTGGCGCTATGCTTCTTATTTTTCTCCGCAGTATCAGTCACTCCTAAGGCAGACAAAAACATCAACAAACACGGGGAGCTGGACCCCGCGATCATCATCGGCAGGTCAGTCTTCACCACCAGATTCATCCTCTGAAGACATGAACCATTG